TGTGATTTCACCCGAGAGCAGGTTGTTCCTGACGTTGTTGATACTTCTCCAGCAGATGTATTGGCCGTCTCGTATGGCCAGCATAGTGTACAATGCGGTACGGTTCTTAAACCGTCCGATGCACGCAAACAACCGACTGTGAACTGGCCAAGTGATTCGCAAAAGCTCTATACGCTAATGATGGTCGATCCAGACGCACCATCTCGTAAGAGACCAACAATGGGTCAGTGGCTACATTGGCTGGTTGTAAATGTACCTGGTTCCAGTATTGACCAAGGTCAAACACTCACTCCATATGCTCCACCAACACCACCGTCGGGCAGCGGCTTGCATCGATACGTATTTCTGGCGTATCAACAATCTGCGCAACTTAACGCAAATTCTGTTTCTCAACGTCCCAAGTTCAGCGCCAAGCAGTTTGCGTCCAATAATGGCCTGGGCGCTCCAGTTGCTGGAAACTTCTTCCAAACTGAATCCCGTTAACAAACAATTCCCACTTTTGAACGTATTTTATCATTTGTCAGACGTAAGAATGAGTGGTGCATCCTTATCGTCCTTAAAGTTATTTGGCATTTTATGGTGTTGTGATGTGATATCACTGCATTAAAAGTTATTTTCGATAATATGCGATAATGCAACATGTCATTTACATAAGGTTGAAGTCTGCAATTCAAAATTTCAGCGCACAATTATCTTATTTTCCGTCACGTTTACTCGCACAAATAAATACACGATCCGTTTTCGGCACATTGGTAATCTCTATTTGCATTGCACGCACACACCCATTCACCACACTTTTGCTAGCATATCTCCTGAAAACAGCTGATCAGTGAAACATCCCATTGTTCAATCAATGAATATGAACGAACGAATATTGACGAAATAGATTGTGTAAACTCTGGGTTGAAAATTTTCTTCAATTGCATGATTGGTAACAGGTGCTGAGAACCTTCCAGCGACTGCTACGCCATAGTCAGTTCCGTCGCAACTCTTCTCACATCGTGCCCAACTCGGATTCTTTTCTTCACAACGTTGGAATTTGCCTGTCATGACCATAGATGTCTGGAAGCTATGAATTCACATTAATACTGAAATGATTGACTATCTGCATATATTTATTGACAAAAATTACGAATGACGTCTTGATTTTGGGCTATGATTTCAAAAATAATACAAAGAGCAATGAACTGTAAAAACAACTCAGATCGAACAAATCAAAATTCAAATGAGCATTAATAACAGTTTAGTAGAGCAGTGGTAACGTAGTACTACATTCGGTGATAACAATAAAAATATTTCGATCAAACGATGAACTTACCAAGAGAAGTATTGGAAGGATGGTGGTTTTTGAAGAGAACTTAGTCGTTCAGGTAAACGTTTCGTCAAGATGGGTGCGAGCTGAGGTAAGGAGCGATTTGTTTTATCTGATGACTTGAGATGATCGAATTATATTTTTATGCATTCCATTCCGTTCGAATCGCATTCATAATCGATACTTATACAGCTTTCACGGTTAATCTCTCTTAATCGATACGAACGAATGCATGTTAAAGTTAAGCGAAAGCATAACATAGTTGTTCAAGCATCTTTAGAATTTTGAATGCGTTAAGTAATGATCATGTAATTGATGTAAACAACTCGTAATGAGTTGGATTTGCTGATTAAATAAATAAACAAGTGCATGAATGAATGAGGCAGAAAGTCGAGACAATCTTTATTCGCAAGTAGCATAAACATGCTAATAAGATGCGCACAAGAAGCTGCAAAAAACATGTGA